CTAAAACATTTGTTATTAAGAAAAATTCATAATTTTAAATAACACTGACACCAAAAAACATTTGCAAAATAAAATTATATAAGCAAATAATTGATAAAAATAAGATATTTATGAATATCATTTGTATTTTTTTGTAAAATGATGTATTGAGTCATTTGCAATTGATTACTATTGGATATAAAATAAAAATTTGTTTGTATTTGATTGAAATGTATTATGCATCGACTTGAAAAAAAAATTAAAATAAACTTTAAAATTATAAAATATTGTTATGAAAATAAATTTTTATAACAATATTAAAAATAAAACTTAATTTTGAAAAAATATAATAAATAAATATTTAATACTTAAATATTAAAATAATTATTACAAAAAAGTACACTTAAAATGACAAACAAAGATCGAAAAATGGAAAAATTTACTTTATTTTTTTAATATTAATTAAATTATTTTTGTTTATAAATAAATAATATCTATATATGAATATATGTAAATGTTTAAATATAACATTTATTTTATGATTTTGTAAGAAAAAAAAAAGTTATTTGTAAATACATAAGCCCTAAGAATATTTTTAGCCCACCCCTCTTGTCACTTTTGTCAAAACTGTGTGTGTATGTGTATATATATATATATGTATGTATGTATGTATGTATGTATGTATGTATGTATGTATGTATGTATGTATGTATGTATGTATGTATGTATGTATGTATGTATGTATGTATGTATGTATTAGGGTGCATTAAAAACAGAAATTTTTCAAAACTGTCTTGTAATAGCTCTAAATATACCCGATATAATAAATTATCACTGGATTTAAAAAAATTTTGGAATAAAAAATATTTTTAGAGGTGCCCCAAGTCAATTGAACATTTCCCTAATATTTTTGAAAAAAAAGTTCTACAAAATTAGGTAAACCTGGTACTCAAAAGAGGCGAAATTTTATAAAAAGTTCAAAAATAATACTTATTTCATATAAAAATTATTATTTTGAATTTTATTACATATTAACTATGGTTTTTTAACTAAAAATAAAAAAAGTGCATTTTTACAAGCTATTCAATAAAATATATTTTTTCGATACGTTTTTTTATAAAACAATTATTATTTTCGAACTTTTTATAAAATTTCACTTCTTTTGAGTACCAGGTTGACCTACTTTTGAAGAATTTTTTTCCCCAGAAAATTAGGGACTATAAATGTTCAAGGGACTTCTAAAAATATTTTTTTTTTGAAATTTTTTGTTAATCCAGTGATACTTTATTATATCACATATATTTAGAGCTATAAGAAAACAATTTTATAAAAAGCCTGATTTTCAATCCACCCTAGTTTGTATGTATGAATGCATGTATGTATGACTGTGTGTGTTATATCTAGCATAAAAAATGAAATTTGATGCTATTAATTGTTTTTGCTCTGTTTTAGAAAATTTAGAAAAATAAATTGAAATTTCGTGCCACTACTGACATGTCACATGTTATTGTATGTAAAGATTAAATTTTTGTTATGAGAATTACAGTTTTATGAAAAAAAAGGTAAAGAGTATTGTTTGTATATAAATGTTTATATTTTGTTTACTTTGAATCTTTTAAAATTTTCTCATGCCATTTTTAAAATTTTTGTTTGCACAATTCAAGTTATATGTTTATTGTTCAAATTGCTTTTTTGATAAGTATGTGAAAATACATAATAATGTATTTTAATAACATTTTACGTAATGTTGTTACTTATGTTCTGTTATATATGAATGTTATGTTTCTTAAGTTATGTTATATGCATATTATATGAACTTATGGTGAATGCTGTTGTTGTGATGTTGTTTTTTTGTAATCTTTTGAGTTGATATACATTTAGCTTACCTTCAAGTTGTTGCCTATTGTTAAAAATGATGTATAGGTAATTTCATTATTAGGCCTCACTGCTTTTAATCACTCACTAAAAGCCTGCTACTCTGTATTATATATATTCACTGAAAGCCTACTACTACTACTCTGGTAAATCACAACAGCTTTTCTCTATCAGGTACAACGATTTTCGTTTTTTGTATGTAATGTTTTTCTTATTTTTTTACTTATTTGTTACATTTTTTATTTTAGATTTATCAAATGATGTATTTATGTGGTATAGAAGAACAAAATATTGTTTAAGTTTTGTAGACAGCTTCTTATATTTAAATTATTTGTGTGTGCTATTTAGAGTAGAAAAAAAATTATATAGAAAAGATCACAATCCTCAAGTTTCTTTTTAAGATTTTTTGTTACTATTTTCAATTAAAAGTAAAGTTTAAATGATATTAGACTAGAAGCAGATATTCGTTTAGAAAAAAATGTTAATGGGCAAATTAATCGTCGCAGAAATCAAAGAAATGGGCTTAGGCGAGATAAAATTAATAATCAACAAAATGCTAGGTATGCTTCTCGGCAAGCAGCAAATAATTTGAAGCCAAATGAGGAGAGTGTGGTTATGCAAGTTGAAATAAATCGTCACAGAAATAAAAGAAATAGGCTTAGGCTAGATAAAATTAATAATCAACAAAATGCTAGATATGCTGCTAGATACGAATGAATGCATTGTATAGCAAGAAGTAATACTATTTCAGATTGTAAATTATTTTCCTAATTTGTAATTTTTTTTTTTTTTAATATTGTATATTTGATTTGTTTTTGTTTTTAATTAAAATTTTAATTTTTTTTTCACGAATTAAATTTAAAGAGCGTGTTTTTTAAGTGCATGCGGTCAAACCTAAAGGTCTACCGAGCCAGACCTGACGAACTTCTCTTAACTTTTTAGGGAAATAATTTTTATATAGTTTCATTTTACATGTTTACTTAAGTTGAATTTTACAATATTTTATTTTAGAACGTTGTTATGTTGTTATAAAAAAAAGAGTTGTAAAGTAAAAATCTTATTTTTACTTTATAGGTATTATTTAATTTTATTAATTTAATTATATTTTTGAGTATCCCATAAGTCATATGTCACACACTATTATCGGCCTTAAAGTTTATCTTCCTGAGAATCAATTAGTGTATTTTAGGGAAGGAGCAGAACAAATGGCCTTAGATTGTGCAGCTCAACGTGATACACACCTTATGGCATGGTTTAAGTTAAAATCTGAAAATGAAAGAGCACATTGCTATTCATATGTAGACATTCCTTATCATTTTATATTTAATGATAAACTTTGTAAATGGAAGGTTAGACAAAGAGGTGGTAATAAGGTGATAGTAAGAACGTATAAAATTAATCCAACTGGAGAATTATTTTTTCTTAGGCTGTTACTTTTGCATGCAAAAGGAGCCAAGTCTTGGGAGGATGTGCGTACTGTTAATGGTATTGTTGTTGAAACATTTCGTGACGCATGCGTTTTAAATGGTTTGTTACAAGATGACACTGAATGGCAGAATGCACTTTCTGAGGCAGTTTTAACACGTATGCCAAAACAAATTAGACAGTTAATTGCAATTATTTTGACTTTTTGTGAACCAGACAATCCTTTGCATTTTTGAAATACATACAAAGCATTTATGATTGAGGACTTTATTCACCGCTTAGTCCCGCTTATAATAGCTGAACAAGCTGCTCTTTGTCAAGTTGAAAAGATTATTAATAAGTGTGGTAAAACGCTGGCTGATTATAATCTGCCTGTTGTTGAGTTAGATTTTAATCTAGATAATCTAGAAAATTTCAATCAAAATGTTCAACAATCAATTGATGAAGCCAATAGAATGAGACCACTGCTTAATGTCAATCAATTAAATGTATGTAATGCTATTCTTACTGCATTTAATGAACAACCAAGTGTAGAAAATCAGCATTCTCGATTGTTTTTCATGGATGGACCGGCTGGTAGTGGAAAAACGTTTACATATAATTATTTGATGGCTGAAACCAGCAGTAGAGGTATTAAATCTGCTACAGCTGCATGGACTGGCATAGCAGCAACTCTTCTTATAAATGGAACTACATTGCATCGCTTATTCAAACTTCCTGTTCCAATATTAGATAACAGCACATGTAATGTAACTCCAAACTCTATACATGGACACTTTTTAAGTCAGGTTAGTTTGTTTTTGCTTGATGAAACATCCATGATACCCAAACATGCATTGAATGCAATTGATAGGTTATTAAAAGATGTTTGCAATAACAACTTTCCATTTGGAGGAAAATTCATTCTTTTTGGAGGCGACTTTAGACAAATACTGCCTGTTGTGAAAAGAGGACAACCAGCTGAAGTTGTAGAAGCATGTATAAAATGTTCTTTACATTGGCAATGGGTGCAGAAGTTTAAGTTAACTGAAAATATGAGAGTACATGATGGGGAAAGGGAATTTTCAAATTGGCTGTTAAGACTTGGTAGTGGAACAGTATTTGTCAAAGAGGAAGATCCTTTTAAAGGATGCATTGAAATACCGCATCAATGCCTTATTAGGGAAAATGACTCCATTGTTGAAAAGATATTTAGGGATGCCGAACAAGACGATTATGTTAAACGTGTCATTTTGACACCAACTAATGTGGATTCACTATCAATCAATGAAGTAGTGCTTCAATGTCTACCGGGTGAGGTCAAAACTTATTTAAGTGCTGATCAAGTTGAAACAGACAATCTTAATGAAAGAAATAACTTTCCTGTTGAGTTTTTAAATAGCTTAATTCCCTCAGGTATGCCTCCTCATTCTTTAAAGTTTAAAATTGGTTGTATAATTATGTTACTTAGAAATTTAGATCTCAAAGCTGGGTTATGCAATGGCACTCGAATAAAAGTTTGTGCTCTTCAAAATAATTATATTGATGCAGAGGTTTTGACAGGTGTTTCTGCTGGTAAACAGGTATTTGTACCTCAAATTCCGTTGGCTCGGTCAGATTCTAATTTACCTTTTGTTCTAAAACGTTGCCAGTTTCCTGTCAGATTGGCATATTCAATGACAATTAATAAAAGTCAAGGTCAAACATTTGATAGAGTTGGTGTATATCTAAAAAATAATGTT